TTTCTCTCTAAAATTTCAGCCACCCTTGAGGAAAACATCTAGCAATCTTACTTCCTCAAGGTCACTCATTTCTTCTTCAATATACCTTGGTGTGGAGACTTAGAGGTTCTCAATTTTGGGAACTTGGAGAAACCTTTTCATCCATCCAAATCCATGGATCTAAGATGCAAGGAATGAAGGCCCTCTCTTTGGGTGATTAGCCTTTGCTTATGCAAAGAGGAATCTACAAAGGTATTGATTTCTCAACTCACTTTGTTTTGAGTTGAGTCTTGGTTCACCTATCTACTAGGCTTTGAATTTCATGGGTAAATGTTTTGTTTTAAGTGCATACAAGCATGATTCCGCCTTTAATTGTTAATTGCATGCTATTGATGTTGCTTAAATGAACATGTTTTTCACAAATTTTCCTTCAATAACTATAATTGGTGTATTGCTTATATATACTGCAGCACCATTGTAATTTTAATTCAGAAACTGTGTGTTCTTAGAATTCTACACAACTCACTCTTTGTAATTTGTGGTCTACTGTCGCTTTTTGGGTTGTTGTAAATGCATCTTATACGATGATTAACGTAAGTGTACATGTTGTGGCTACAAGCCATTTGATTACTAAATTTTCATGTCACAAGAGTTGCTTTTAATTAACTGTAGCCGACCGTCCCATAAGCGCAAAGTAATTTTAACTAGCATATTTTTACGAAACTAATGTGTTACGACTTCGAAGATAAGAAAATCCTAAAGTACTCATGTTGTCATATTGTTTATTTTAGTTTTAAAGTTAACTAGTGGTTCAATACCATGTTTATTCTTAATGAGTGTGAAAATGAAGTGGTAATAAAAAATTCTTATAAACCAGAAGCACAATTACTTCTGGAACTTGTATTAGATTAGACAAAACAATATTAAAACCAAAAAATTAGGAGAAATCAAAGTCTATGGACTCACTCGTGGCACCAAGTATTTTGATTAGTCGATCAAACACTGCTTTGAGCATTTTGTGACGCAGCCAGCTGATGCGTAGGTGGAGTTCAATAGGCAGCAGCAGGAGGTCGCTTTAAGTATAAAAGTAAACAAAGATTGCAAAATCTAGCTAAAAGCTTGATTAGCAATTGTTAATTAATTAAATTAAGAATTTGGAACAAGAAGGGAAAAGGAGAGAAAGATGGTTGGATTAGAGTAAAGAAAGTGGATGAGACGGCCATTAATTAAGCATTAAGCATTAGCATTATATTGTTGGTCAATGTTTTCCTTTTTCACAGCTTCCTTTTAGGGCGGCGGCTTTGGTTGAAAAAAATATATGCATAATTCTGCATATCTATCTCTATATATATATATATATATATATAGGTAGCCTATCATGGTGTGTGTGTCCCTTTGGTCCACATCATTCAAATTTTCAAAATGTATTGTCGTTTTGATGTGTAGCACAACCAGAGTTTAAATATTCACGAAATTATTGATATTTTATTGAAATATTTAAAAAATTAAGGATTGATATGAAAAGAGGATGAAATGGAAAATTCACTCTTTATCAGTGAGTTATAGGAATATCAATGAATATCGATGATTTTAACGATTCACTACGAAACTTTTCCAAAACCAATTGTAGGTTTCGAATCTTTGAATTTTTTTCGAATTTTTTCTCTAATTTCGACTAATTTTGAAGGAGTTAATACCCACCCCAATGCAATTTTTTGTCGAAGGCAATCGATATTTCTAGCTATATTGAGTTTAATCTAATAAGTTTCAAGTTCAAAACTCCCTCCATGTGCATCAACAATTAAAAATCGTGCGTGCTTTGATAATTATTGACCTTCTCTCTGCTCAAGCTTCTATATATTAGAAGACTGATGTTTAGATTTTTTTTTTTTCTTAATGCATTTTGTAACCGACTTTTAAATTTAATGGTCGGAAACATTTAATATATCATCTTATATTCCGAATGCTAAATGAAATTGTTATTAGCATTCCAAAAATCTCATGTGATACTTCAAACTTTCTATAATTAGAAGAAGAAAAAATACACTTATGATGAGTGTATAATGAAATTTTTGAAATGCTAATAACAGTTTTCATGTTAAAATCTCTAAATGTAAGTTCGGGGATTAAAAAATAAAAAAAAAATAAAAGGGGAAATAAAGAAGAGTAAATACAACACGCAAAGGAGCTGCAGGTACAGGTGGAGCAGCAGACCACCTCACTTTAGTTAATTACTTGAATATATATTTTCACCTAATTCCGACGTCATCACTGGCATCATCACCACTGAGCACCCATGAGCTGCTCCCTCCTCCAACTTCTGCACAAACTGTACGCTGCATCTGTTGTCATTGCATGGCCACACCTACCCCCAGCCGTCAAGGGTATGATTTTCTCTTCTCTTTTTTGACATTTTCTTTTCTTTCCTCTTATTTGAATGATTACGAATAAATTACGTTAATGTCTTATATTAAATTACAGAACGAGAAAGATAAAATAAAGAAGGTAAGAGCAAGAGAATGAAAGAAATAGAAAGAGGAGAAAAAAGATTTCTAGTCCGGCCGTCAATTCGTACACTGACCGATTTGACACTTCCCAATTGGTCACCACCTCCCTTTCTGTGCCTCCCCTTCTTTTTTTTATCTTTTTTTTTTTTTTACTTTTTGTTGAGTTTTATAATTATCCTGGGCGTGGGACCCATTTCGCGCGTACGTGTCGGCTACTCTGCGCAGGCAGTGGCTAGTCTTCAAGGTGTGGCGGGTCCGTAATCCAACAGAATCTTGTCGGAACCGAAGGCGTCACGGCCGTCTCTCCCAACTCCAACGTTTAGTTACGTTGCGCAGCCAACACCACACTCGTAATTAATCGATAAATTAAGAAAAAAAAATAATAATTAAAAATTGAGTAATGCTTTTAGAGAAATTTTTAAATGTGCCCGACATAAACGATGCATTTTTACATGCTATAGCTTTGGCAGATCGTTTAGCCCCATTCATCTTCAGCGTAAGAGCACTCGATCAGTGAGTTATTACACACTCTTTTAAGATGGTTGCTTCTAAGCAAACCTCCTAGCTGTCTCTGCCGTCCTAACTCTTTTATCATTGAGAGGTCATTTAGGGGCCTTAGTTGGTGATCCACACTGTTTTTCTCTCGACAATAGGGGGTTTTCCACTTCAGTATAATGTTTACAGAGTAGATTGCAGTGAACATAGGTCATTTAGGGGCCTGAGTTGGTGATCCAGGCTGTTTTTCTCTTGACAATAGGGGGTTTTTCACTTCAGTATAATGTTTACGGAGTAGATTGTAGTGAACATAAATAACGCCTTACATGTAGAAAGTCAAGCATTGTGGCACGTCGATGCATCATTCTATGTGACTCATGTGCTAATTATAAGAAATGACATGATGATGATGATGATGATGATGCAGCAAGGAGGTTTTTGTCATTTTGATAGTGAGGGTGGTGACGTGGCAAAATTAGCAAATCGCATCATGATGGACTAGTGAGAGAGGGAGTGGCGGAGGGAGGGAGGGGCTGCCGAGTAAAAAGATGGTTGTGTTTGGCATGTCGTTTTCTACTTCCTTTTTTAATAAGCTCCGAATCCATTTCAAAATTGTCAATAAAAGTATTACATAAATAGACCAACGATTGACAACTCACAAAAATTGAAACAAAAAATAAGTGAAAAAATAAATGGAAATAAAGAGGGGCTTAGGTTAGAACAACAAAACGTATCTAGATAATTAGCAAACTTGGTTAAAGCACATTTAAGTTTGAATTTTTTTTTCTGTAATTTAAATAAATTTAATGTAATTTTCCTCAAGTATTAGAACTGGAAACAAAAAAACTATACATAGAAGTAAAACACTCTATGACATGAATACATCGCTATGGTAAATTCACATGACAACAGTTTATATATTATTATGTAAAATAACATGTGAAATGTTAAGAAAACTCATTTAAAATTAGAACTCTTAATAGATTCTCTGCCACTTTATATTTTAAAATATTTTTTTATAATATTAATATTGATTTGACACATAATCGATGTGTGGTGCATCACGCCAAACTTTATTATTGACACAAAACATTGACGATGGGAGTCTTGCTTTCAAAGAAGTTGTAGAAGGAAAATGAATTGAGAGTCCATTTGTGGGCATAGAGTTGCAGAGTGGGTCATGGCCGTGCGTTTCTTATATGAGATTATATTCAAACATTCTAAATTACTTCTTTTACATATTTTTAATTTTTTAATATTTTTCTATCAAGTATTAATGATGTGTAAAAAATATTAAAATATTAAAAAATTAAAAAAATGCGAGAGAAATAATTTAGAATGTGAATATAATTTCTCTTCCTATAATATAACACCACAACAATTCCACGATGGTGACATTTTATTTTTTTGTTTCTTTCTTTTTCATTACCCGCTTATTCTGTGGTCCCCAACCCTCGGTCCAAGACTCGGTCAGACAAAACTCATGGAGAGGAAAAGCAAAGCTAAATACTTTTGGGGACTATTCGGATGAGGATGACTTATATGAAATAAGTTTATTGTTACGTAGTGATTTTTTTAATAATACTTTGACATGTGTATACTTTTCTTAAATGGAAAGGTCTCGTGGCGGTAAACTCGTTATGTAAGTTGTTCACAACAGGTGGGGTTCTCTTCTAACTAATCTCACTAGTCATAAATCCAAGTCTACTCAAAATAATTTAATGCTCAAAATCGTTCATTCTATAGATCATTATTCATGCATTATTCACAAAATTTCACCCAATGTTCATCTGTTTCTTGAAGAAAGATTGTTAAACAATGAAACGATTATTGATTGGAGTAAAATTTTTATGCAATGAACATTGAATAATGACATAAAATGTTGTGTTTGACGATGCAAAACATGGTAACGTAGATCTAAACGAGTGGTTAGCGCCCTATAACTTACTAATCAATTAGCGCTCGAATGATGTTTAGAATGGAGTGGATAATCAGACCACGTGACCGTTAGACCGCACACACAAAACAATACTTTGTATTTTGGTCATACCATCGCATGTTTATGCATGTATACACAGGCGTCCAGATTAAAGAATTCCTTCCGACATTGACAAAAGCTTCCAGCGCTACAAAAGCATTCCATGTTTCTAGTAGGGTATTTTCAAGTGCCACAAAAGCTTTACGGAAAATTGCATCTTCGATCCTGATGCTACAAAAGGCTGTCATTTGTAGGGTATTTTCGTTCATATATAGATTAACTGCAAGTGCTTAACTTTGCTAGGGATTTCCTGCGTCACTTGAACGAAGACGAGCCCCCAAGTTGAATTCCTCAGCTACATCCTCCACAGACTTGCATCTGTTCCAGAGACAATAAACCGTAAACAGACACAAAAGTACACGTTAGCGAGAACCTTTCAAGCACAATTTTTCCTTCCTCGTATTGTTGGCTTTCGTCGTGAGCAATTACCTAATAAAATTCACCATCTGCATAACAGGGTGTTTTGTTCAAGAAAACATGTTCATTTGTGTGTTTTTTTTCTCTTTGTTTACGAGTGACACTCTAGTCCTCTTACTCATCCAAAACTAGGAGGCAGAAAACAAGGAAGCAGAGAGACGAAGAAAGCATACATATTTCCAGTCAAGACTCTGTCCGCAGCAGCAACAAAAGATAACCTCTACAGTATACAGACCAGAGATCGTTAGCGTCTCTTCCTCAGGACCGAGGCGTTATGTTCACCCTGTACACAAATTTCATAGGACAGACAAGAAGAATGAGAACGAAAGAAATGTCCATTAACATTTGCTCAAGGTCCATGGAAGATAATGTAGCATCCTTAATTTTTTAGGATAAGAAGAGCAAATGCGATTGAATCAGATTTTATATTCTGGTGACCAGAAATGAAATAGCAAGCTAGAGTCAAATCGTTAAACACAAAAAATTTGAGTCTCTGCATGCAGAAATGAAATAGCAAGGATGAACATAAACACCTCAAAATATTGAGAATAAGCTACTCGACATAGAAATAATAAAATAAAACTTTATAGTTTGGCCAAAAGTTCAGATTTCCTCACAAAATACGAAATCTAACTTAATATTTCCTCAATTACTTCAAGCATAAACAAGTAATTAAATATCTAGGTGTATATATTCCTACCGTATTCATGGCACTAAGTGGTTTTGTCCTCTCAAAGAACCAACAATTGACCTAGCTCTTACTTATAGCCATTACAATCTTGTTGAATGCTGCGATGCATTTCAAACAACTACTGAATATGTGGTACCGTCGCATACACAATCTAGTCCTTCCAAAACCCCAACTCAGGAAATCCCAATCCACTTATGCTCATATCAACCATTCCCAACCAGCCAATTCCCACTAAATACCAAAAATACAATTTCTAAAACCTTTTTCTAAAATCAAATACAAACTAACAAACCCATTTCAAATTCTCCCAAAGGAAACAAGTTTTCAATCTTTTGTTTCCATCATATCACCAATTAAGCCTATATAACTTGTAGTTATGCTTATATCATTCTAAAAGTCTCACAATAAAAATATAAAAAGATGCAAACTTGAGAGAGAGAGAGAGAGTACCCGAGAGAGGACATCATTGGCAAGGGCAAGAGCGCTGTCACAGAATCTGCATCTATAAGTTCTGCCATCCATTCTTTATTTTCTGGGATAAGATGTAGCTTTTCCTTGTCATGTGAAAGAAGAATATACAATAGCAAAATAACCGCGTTCTTCATATAAGGTGATGTTGCCGGCTTTGGGTCTCTCTTTCCCTCCCTCTCTCTCAAGCCAACCAATATTTGAAAACTAATATTATTTATTTATATACAAAACCTTGATTAGAATGTTAATGATAAAAAATTCACAAGCAATCAGTATCAAGCCTAGTGAGACAACCCTTGGCCTTTAGATCTTTTTTCAATAGGTGATTCTTGATCACAATTCTCAAACCAGCCAGGAAAGACAAATTTATAACATACCATCACGTTACGTATTGGATTGATGGATTAGGGTTAAGACATTTAGTTGGAAAAAAAAAAAAAAAAAACCTCAAAGTGTAATACAGAATTCATTAGAGGATGCACATAAAAAGATCAAGAAAAACTCCTGAAATTGTCTGTAATGATAAAGAAGATAACTGTATAGCATCCAGCTCTTATTATTTGTATAAGTGCTTAACTTTGCTAGGGACTCTCTGCATCACTTGAACCAAGACGAGCGTCCAAGTTGAATAACTCAGCTACATCCTCCACTATCCTCCATCTGCTATTGAGACGGGCACGTTTAGTTCAATAGAAACCATAAATAGAGACAAAAGTAAAAGATAGCAAGTACCTTTCAAGCACAAACTTTCCTTCCTTGTATTTTTGGGTTTGGTCGTGTGCAATTACCTAATAAAATTCACCATCAGTATTACATAAGATTGTTTTATGTTCAAAATAAAGGTGGTATTCAGTCCACAAACAGCACTTTACTAACATTGATTAAATACCACATGTAAACTTTGCCACAAATAATCTTACTAGTTCAAAGGCAGAGTGGTCCAGGTCTAAAAGTAAATTGATAGCAGAGACATAAGAGTGCAATTTAAGTACTTGATTTAAAAATATATAGGCTAGCTAAACGTGACACTGTCTAGTCCTGCTACTACCTACTCGTGCTAACAACAAAGCGGAAAACATTCAAGCAGAAAGATGAAGAAAGCATACATATTTCCAGCCAAGAATCTGCCCGCAGCAGCAACAAAATATATCTTCTACAGTATGCAAACCAGAGAGCATTAGCCTCTCTTCCTCAGGACCAAGCGTTATGTTCACCCTGGATAAGGTTTTCATAGGTCAGATGAGAAGAATGAGGATGAAGGAAAAGCCAATCAACATTTACTCATGGCACTTGAAGTTGAAGATAATATAACATCATTATTTTTATTAGAACAAATGCAGCAGCATCAAATTTATATTATTGTGACCAAAAGGTTGAGAATGGCTAGTATGCACAGTGGTATCCTCCAACTACTGCTTAACATATGACGAATTTTAACAATCAGCAAACTTACAATTTAGAGAGTAAGCGATTCCTATAAAGAAATTAACGCAATATGGCCATTCAAGAATGAATTAGTTCACTAAAGGATATTTGTTCATTGTCTGGCAATATGTCGGCCAGAAAATGACATGTAAATATGGAAGGCAACTAAAAGCAAAGGCTATAATAGCAAAGAACTTACACATTGCTGAACAGATATGCCCTTCTTCGACCGCAGTTGAAATTCTAATCAAATTACAACAAACTAAAGTCAAATTGTTAAACACTAAAGCATATTACATTGGCTCTCTGCACACATAATGAAAAAGCAACAATGAAACTAAAAGTCCCAAAATATTGAGAATAAGCTCCATGATATATAAGTAACAGAATAAAAATTGAACACAGTTCTATGTATTCTTCGAAAAGGAAAACATTACTTAAGATCCATATCTAATGTATCACTTGTCACTCTTCACAACAACAAAAGTTAATAGTTCGGCCGCAGTCTAGTGGCGAAATGTTTAGTTTCTCCATGTATCTATGTGTGTATACATTCTAGTCCTTACCATGGCACTAAGTGGTTTTCTCCCCCCACTTGACCTGGATTTTTCAGCTTTTACAATCTGTAATATGCAAAAAATCTCAAATCTCTAAAATAATTATTATATGCAAATCAATCTCAAACCTCACAAAAACGATATTATACTTACTCCTGACTGAGTTTATTAATTTGGCTCGGTTTTCTTCGGGTTTTTTGGCCTCAGTTCGGTGCGGTTTCTCAGTTCTTCGGTTTTTTTGCCCACCCCTACCGCACCCAATCTAGTCCTTTTACATGTGTCTTTTCTCAGTTCACAAAGCTTCTTCACCAAGAAATACCCCATATTCTCTGAAAAAAGGCCTTAATCCCAATTCCCAACCCAGAAAAACAATGCTACATAGAATCTAGTCCATGCAGGACCTGAAAACTCAATTTCTAAAACCCTTTTTCTAAAATCAATACAAACCCATTTCAAATTCCATCAAAAGGAAACAAATTTTCAATCTTTTCCTCCATTCTATCACAAATGAATCCTATTTTACTTGTAATCATGCTTATAGCAATCTACAGACCTCATAATATATAAAAAGATGCAAACTTTAGAGAGAGAGAGTACCCGAGAGAGGACATCACCGGCAAGGGCAAGCGCGCTGTCACAGAATCTACATCTGTAAGTTCTGCCATCCAATTCAATCAGAAAAATTCTCCCCATTTGAAATTTTGATCTAATTCTAACATAAACCCTAACCCTATCACTCTAACAGTGTCTCCCAAATTATTCACTAACAATTATTTTAACAATTTCATCCCCAATTTTGTTAATTTACTCAAACAAATCAGATCCCAATTCGAATTTCGCAAACTGGGAGTGTTCCCGTTTCAAACAAGTGGTGGCGAATACGGTGCGTCCAAATTTCCAATCTTTTTCTTTCCCTCGGATTTGCATCCTCTCCGGATCCAAAGGATCTGAGCCCGCAGATCAAATGATCCGGACCATCCAAATTTAATCAAATGGCTAAAATTATTATAACTTTAAATGGGCCCCCTATATATAGCCGTTGAATCAAATTTCGACGATCCTGATCACTTGATCCGCAGACTCAAGATCAAGTGGATCCGGAGAGGATCCAAAGTGCTTTCCCTCCTCCTGTTTCAAACATGTAGTGGCGTGTTCATTGCATATACAATCAGGTGACGTGCCGTTCTTTGGTAGATGACACGCCGTTCCTCACGAATTTTTTTTTTTGTGTGCGGCACACATGACTCGGCACAACTTCGTAATTATAATCTGTTGATTTTTTTTCGTTGAAATTCACAATTAATTATATAATTATGCTTATTTAATCGAATCGTGCGTCTTTCACATTAAAAAATCTCTCGTTCTGCACCATACCACCTCTTCTCAAACTTTTTTGTCCTTAATTAAAATCAACTCGTTACAAATTGTGTTGTTTGGATTTTAAAAAAATAAAGCAAATTATGTTGTTTGGTAACAATCATCTCACTATGATGGATGACTTAGAAAAGAAATGATCTTTCTATTATTTGTTAAGCAGATATGATCCTTTTTATTTTTTATTTTACCAAATGTGATGATATTTCCACAATAAAGAAAATGGCAAGTCACTTTTACGTATCAGGATGGATTGAATTTATCCGTTTACGAACATCTCCAAATGAGATGTTAAATTCTAAGGGAAAATATCACTATGCATAATTTGACATAAAAAATTTATTCTAACCGAGCGTTATTTGTTAACTAAATATTAAGCTTTTGGGATCAGAAATCAAATTTAAGGTGAATTTTTTTTTAAATTAATTTTAATGCAAATGTGAACAAGTAAAATAACAAGATGGGAGGTCGCCTTCTGTTACAAATTGGTGCATTGGGACCATCAAACTAACGGCATAATTACAATTTTGAGACTACTTTCATACCACTATATTTTTGTGAACATATTCCTTTTTTATTTAGTAGTTTCTAGATAAAGTTTCTCAATCAAATTTCAATAAACATTAGGCATCCACCTAATCTTTGTCAATAGAGTTGAATGTGAATCCTCTTTGGATTTTAGTGCTCAGTGTTTAAAAATCAAAAAATTTGAATTCTTAATTTATGTAAAAGAAAGATCGAAACTTCTTATTTATGTGAAATAACTAACGAAATGAGCTGATAAGAACCATCGAATTTATTTTGAGGTATCCGAATGGTTTAATCTTTACGTGCAGACCGTAATATCCGAATAAGATCTCTATCACATAGTTCGGCGGTCAGAAAATAAAACATTGAGAAAGTCGTATTACATAACGTATCCACCAAGTTGGTGCATGACATCTGTCTCTACACTCTCTCTCTCTCTCTCTAGCTGCTAGAAGTAGAGTACTAAATACACAAGCCTATGGATGCCATCTCTCACACACCTAACCAGATTTGATTTGCTAAATATTATTATTATTATTATTTATATGGTTTGTTTGTGGTCAAATTATGTCTCCCACCAGATTTTATTTTTTATTTTTTTAATGACAAGAATTAGTCCATGTGATTGTAACAGCTGAGTGTCGCGACTCCATAGCTTCGTCTACTGATTTTTATTATAATTTTATAATAACAGTCTTGTAAATCACAATCAAATAGTCGAACTTTCCACGGCTTATTTTTCATTTTGTAGTTTAACGTTAATTTTTCACATTAATATTATAAAATATTATATTAAAAATATAAAACGGCAGAGAATATGGATAATTTCATTTTTATGAGAATCTCTTCAGTATTTTTCGAATAGATATAGCCCATATTCCTTCGAATATGGGTCGGATGGTACTATTATTACTACTATTGCTCAACAATTGGATACTACAAAGAATGTTAGGGATTTGATTACAACCATTATACATGATATTATGAAAGTATTTTATTTTTTATTTTTTAATTTTGTAATGCAATTTGCAATTTGCATTTTTCAAATAAACTAAAATCAAAATGTTATTTGTAAACTAATTGAGAATCGACATTTATCATTTAGATATCACTACTTTTAATGCAGTTGGCTATCAAATTCTTAAAATACAAAATTATAGTAACAGAATGCGTAGCTCAACTCATTATAAATTTAAATTTAGTGACATAGAACCTGTGTAGTCATTGAACTTCACATGTTCGTTGATCTAATTATGAATCTATGATATATCATTATAAAAGTTGAGGTTTCACTTGAAATCAATTTACATCAGGAGAAGTTTCTCAACTCCTTGAAAGTTTGCATAGTACTCCGATGATGAACATTTCTTTACACCTTCACACATTAATACACACACACACGCACACGCACACACTAGCATATGGGCTCAAACAAAGTGTGAGAAATTTTTTTATTTTTGTTTTTAAAATAGAATGAGAGAGGAAGAGAGTGATAGAGAATGTGGGAGTGGGAAGTTTTTCTTTTTTTTTTGATTTTTTAATTTAAAAATTATAGATATGTTCAGATTACATGTAGGTGAGGCTTTGAAAAAAAACAGCAAAATTTGGTTGTGTGAAATTACATTTATGCCCCATATTTCTTATTTATGTTATGTTTTAATTAGATGGTTAAACTGGTAATTTCATAGGATTTTGGTTGACAATAAGTGTTTTATTAATTGGTAGAGATATATATATATATATATATATGTATGTGTGTGTGTGTGTGTGTGTGTGTGTGTGTGTGTGTATCATGCGTACATATTCGACGGTTGAATGCACTCAGGTATTCAAAAAAAAATTGACAAGTGAATATGTGTGTGTGCGTGTGTGTGTGTGTGTGTGTCATGCGTACATATTCAACGGTTGAATATGCACTCAGATATTCAAAAAAAAAAGAATGACAAGTGAATATGATTCACTTCAACGACAGTGCGTTCATACAATTAATTAATGTACGTAAAAGGACTTCAAATAGTCGCATTAGTTGCTAAACAAATTATTGACAACGAAGTCTAAACCCTAAACTCCCAAAAATAGTTATCCAAATCAATAACCATTCAACAATATTAAAGCTATTATACGAATGACATTGACAATGTCAATAACGTGTTGTGTGGCAAATGCAAACTTAAAATAGAAGGTAGACTTCAATTCAAAATCCAGCTAATAAGTTCATCTTCAATCGAAAGGGTAAACATAGATCCGTCTAAAATTATAGCCCTGTAAAAAATTGTTTTTAAATAAACAATATCAAATCATACTTATATACCATCTCCAACATAAGGGGCTAAATATAGCCCCTCATTAATATATTAGTTTTAAAGTTTATAATTTAAATTTATCAGTTAATTTAATTAAACTACCGTTGAATATTTTTAAATATAACCGTTAAATTTGAATCAATTATTTAAAGAGTTGAGCGCAAAAAAGGTCAATAAGGGGGCTACATTTGGCCAAATAATGACTTGGTGGGCTCCATAGAATTATAGCCCAGTCATTGGTTGAAGATAATTTTTTAGACAAACCAGGCCTTTTTTCGGCTTTTGGACCTTTAGCTAAGTTGCAGTCAAGGAGGAAAGATTTTTTAGCCTGTATGAAACATAAGATGGTACATTACGGGTCACTATATAAGTGATGAGATATTTATATTAAAAAAAATTAAAACTTGAAAAATAAAACTATCATCCACTTACAAAAAAACACGTAATATACCACTCGTATTTTAAACACAATAAAAAATTTCTCGTCGAGGAGGACCTTGAGGTTAATAATGGATAATTTTTGTGGGAAATGGAGAAAAGGGGGTTCCAGTTTCACAGGTAGGGTTGGCCCCCAATAGGCATACGTAAGAGTGCGGGAAAGAGTCTTGTTTGATTCTCCAAACACCAAAGCGTACGTACCAACGCAACTCTCATGTGCATGTGCAGTCACCTTATTCTTCCGTGTGACGCAAAATATTTTACCGTGTTCGATGGCTTTAATCTTGTTCGAAATTTTTAATTACAACGACTAGTGTATTACAGGATGATATTTACTTAATAAATTAAACGGTGCAAGAGAGATTCCGTCAAGCCATGTAATAAATCAGTCATAAGTCATAATTAAGTGTTCAAACTTGAAAAACCCTTGCTCATAACTTACATTTTTTTACTTAACTTGCCTTTTCATTGTAAAATTTCATTGTCAAAATGCACTCCGAAATTATCCGAGCTTGTTGCCAAATTTTTCTACGTGATAGAAATTAAAACAAGTGGTATCACTACTTTATGTAATATTATTTTCTTTTTGTCGAAATGTGGAATTTATTAAATTCTAATTGATAAGTTTATATCTTCAACAAAAGTATCAAAAAAAAAAATCACACCAAACCTCATTCTTCGATTAATCTTGCCAGTTCAGTCCTTGGCATCCGACTCTATAACCGGCCTTGTAAAACCTTAATAAACATTTCGGACCATAATTCAAGTAAGACACCAACATTATGTCACCGTATTTCAAGCACACCGAAAACTTTATTTGAGATTGAGAAGAGATAAGAGAGTGAGAGGGCAGTTGTCATCTCAGAGGCAACAAAGTCCACCATGGAGAAAAAGGCGGCAGCAGCAGCCCACACCTTTATCCTTTTATTTTATTTATTTATTTAATGCCATGACGGTTACTTTTATTTTCTTTAATTTTTTATTTATTTTCATTTTTGTCGTTTTCATTTCTCCATGAGGCAAAACGTGGCGCATCGCGAGACGTTGCAGTCTCTCTCTTTGTTGGCGGGACAAAACCGCGGGTCCCACACGCGGTAAACAGCTTTGAACTAAAACACGCCGACCCGCCGGACTAACTGTCTGTCCCTTCCCGACACGTCACCCGATCTCTCGGCTTCTCAGCGCCGTACTCCATTACTTTCTCGTATATAAGTATATATATATTTTTTATTTATTTATTTAATATTTAATATTTCCTTAATTCTTGTTCCTCCTACATTGCTACCATTAATTATCGTAAATCTTAATCCATTTGAATTAAAAATCATTTGTGCCATGATCTTATTGATTAATTTAAATACACGCATGCGAAAGTAATCCAGAATTATCTCAATAATCTAACACTCCAATATGCACATATCTCGAAATCCATGCATTGAACCACCCTACTCTACCCTAATCTATAGCTTGTGTATTTTAATACATTTCAAAACAATGTTTAATGTTGGATAAGATAAATATTTAGGTCGGCTGGTCATGTCTTTCTCAATGAGATATGTCATTACATTTTAGTACATAACTAACTATTTACAGATACCGAATTTAAGATTTTTTACTCATTAAAAAAAATACAACTAGATTATGTATTACAACGTCAAAACATCACTCCGTTTTAAGGTTGAGAATACAATGTTTCGTTATTATTAGTCCATGCCATTGGACAAAAATACAAAAAATTAGTAACAATTTCAGGCATAGTTTAACAAGATCAAACATTGTGAACACAAAATGACTATAACTTCTATGTGGCATCAATCATAATCTTATTAAGTTAAATTTTTTAACTTTATTGTCATACACTTAATACGTGCAAACAGTAATTAAGGTTATAATGAAATCACAACCATTTAGGGTGCATAAGATTTGATCTTCAATTTAACATAGTTTTAACGTATGAATCGAGCAAACAAATAAAACAAGAACAAATAGATTAATAGAGCTGTGGGAAAAAAAATATTTTAAACAAAATTAACTTTTTTATATAGAATTTTGACCGAGAATGGTTTGAAGCATTGACCGATTATTTTTTGTCGATTATCTTTTCGTAATCTGGAAGCCAATGGAATCAAGAAACAGAATGGAGGGGTGCACAAAATATTCTTCAGCAAAAAGGGCGGTGGGCTCCACTAAAAGCGGCAGCCGCGCTTTCCCACTTTCACCCGCAGCGCCCGCCACCACGTGGGGGCCGCCTTTGTCTGTTTCCTCCCACCTGTTTCGCGTTGCTAATTATTTATTTTTCGGCAAAAAAAAAAAATTAAATAGGTACGTGAGATCGGACGGCCGTATGTCACGTGCAATCCCGACTCGAATCTCGAGAGCTTACCCGGTCAACGTGGAATTAACTTTCGGTCCGAAGTACCCTCCAAAACCGGCTGCCACTCTTTACGCGCCCAACCTCTAACCATCCCTAGGCGCCTAATCATTTATTTTCTCTTTAATCCGAATATTTCTCAAAATATTCAGAAGGTAGGGGACAAAAGCGTAATTATAGAGAGTTAAAACGACTCGGTTTTCACTCGTTTGAGTGCAGTAAGGGCCGCCGACGCTTGGGACAGACCCTGCCACGCGGCAGCCAGTTAGGACACATATGGTACAGAAAATTTTCATTGTGACGGAATACGGGTAGTACATTACGGATTTTTATATAAATGGTGTAAAATCTTAATATTTAAGTAATTCACATTTTAACACACACACATCCCACACATATCAACAAATTTTGTGCTACTTTCTTCTTACTTTATAGAGAACTTTAATGAAAAATTCTTAGTACTGTTTACTTTAACAAAAAATCATATTTTTACACTAAAATATACTATTCATTTTATCATTTATTTTGTCCTCATCTTTAAATCTCAAAAATTTCAAAACTTTTCCATAGTTTTTTTTACATTATTCTTGAACAATAAAAAAAACGGTTGAAAACAAAAATCTTCACAGATCTTAAAAGTACGCATGATAAAAGTAACAAACCTTCCGAGCGGGCAAGGGGACAAGATTGATCCGAAAACCAAAATACAAGATTTATCGAGAAAAGATCGAAAGCGTTACATCTAACATCGGAAAAACGATCAAGAGCGTTACATCGCTGGATCAATAATATTGTAGTCAAAGAACAACGGAAACAATTTTAATGATTAAACTAAATAAAAAGAAATGATCAGTTTGGTTACATTTAGGGGAAAATAATTATTGCTGAAACGGGAGATTACAACTGAAAATTGACATTGAAAAAACAAGGGGTGTCTAATTCCGAACAACAGATTGAAACACGGTGGAGTTTCGCTGCTGCAAAAAAAAAGGATGATGATCCGATCAGCTACGTATTCACATGGAGCTTCTTTAATTGGTTGCTCTCAGCGTATTTTTTTTTTTCTTTTTCTATCTTAGAAATTCGTAAATTATAAAACTAAAATTAGAAAGAACAAAAAACTGAAATTGAAGATTTCCTATTAACTCAGCCGGCCGCCGGGCTCTTCTCCAAAAACAAAATCAGGCGAGTTCCGGTGGAGGAGGGAGGTTGAGATCGAACCCTCCGCCTCCGCCGCCGCCGCGAGGCAGATCGTTCTGGTTCAGATCGACCACCGAGGACGAGTCCGAGTCGCTCTGGGCCCCACCGGCGAAACTACCACCACCAGCGGCTTGGAAATCATGCTGGTGGAAGTTGTGGTGATCGAATCTCAGCCGTTGATGAATTTGGTGGTTCTTCAACATGCCGGCTCTGAACACCGAGTCGAAATAGAGCATGTGATTCGCGGCTGCCGCGGAGGAAGCCGGGACTCGGATGACAGGTCCGATTCCCGGAACCTGGTGGTGCTGGAAGGGGAACCTCATCGGCGCGGGGCTGAATCCTCCGGAGCTAACACCGTGAGCGAGATTTAGATCAAACGGCGAGGAATCGACCATCAGAGCCGGCGGCTCACGGCTGGAGGACTCCACCGTGCTGCTCTGGCTCGGGCTTTGATTGTTGCTTCCGCCACTAATTTTATTATTAATATTTATATTATTATTATTATTATTATTATTTGTAATATTCAGGCTAACATTTTCCGAAAGGAGAGGGAAGTTTGTCTTGGCCTTGGCACCGCGGAAATCTCTGGCGGCGTTGTCGTAGGCCCGGGCGGCTTCCTCCGCCGTGTCGAAGGTTCCGAGCCAGACCCGGCTCTTCTTGCCGGGATCTCTGATCTCGGCGGCGTACCTTCCCCACGGCCTCTTCCTCACGCCTCTAAAATGCACCTCCTTCACGTTTCCGTTACCGTTCACCCTAACGGCGGTCGCCGTCTTCTCTCTCGGCGCCATAACTGAACGGTGGCGATTTTTGTTTGTAGTGTTTGGATGGTCAGAGTGTATGGTTGCAGTGAAAATATGTGAGAAAATATGGGTGTGGAGATGGCAATGGAGGAGTATGGGAGGGCAGGCTGTGGTTATATATAGAGGGGATGAGCGAGCAAATGAAGAGAGAGAAAGAGTGAGGAGAGAGAGGCGCACAGTCAACAAGCGATTTGACTGAGATGGGGTTAGGGGCGGCTCTCCAGTGGTGGCAATTTAGTAATTGTACAATTTTGGTTCCCGTATTACGTGGCATGTGGGTTGTCGAGATATCACAGCACACCCATCATTTTTATCATTATCTAACGGCTGCGGATGCACTCTCTCTGATTGCGTGCTGTGCTCCTTCCTCCCATCTCCCACGCTCCACTCCCAGCATCATTTCCACTCGCCATTTATTTGTTGAGCCAAGACTACGTTTTCTGTCAATGATATTTAATTAAAATATTATTGTAATTATTTACTTTATTAGATCGAAATATTACTATAGTAATGTATCTGTGCTATATAAATTATTATTCAAAATCGAGAGTTGCAATAGAAGGATATCACTTGCACTTTTTTTTCCCTTAGACGCTAGTGTTTAGTTTATAACTTTAGATTCATGAATAAAAATTAGAAGTCTATGAAAACTATGAATGGGTAAATTTTTCAGACATGAACGTTACGCAAATCATAATTGCACAAATAAAGAAATAATGTATATGTGATTTAACAAAGTTAAAATAGTTAACCTGCTATCAAATAATATATTTATTTTTTATAACTCCTACGCTCATCAGCTATTAATCTATAATTTAACAAAAACACGATTAAAAATATTGATTAGTGCTTTTAAACGATTGAAATCGTTTTCGATCATAAAAATACACTTCCCAAACCAGCACGTAGACCGACAAAAGAGTACATCAGAGCAAAAACCCCATCGTTGCCCAAGTCAACATGCTTGGGCAGCATTAGCCGGTTGAACAAGTTGTCGGCAGAAACTGCCATCACGCCGAGTGAATAGGATTATTTTTCACTTTTTTACTTCCCCTTTTATTTTTCAAATTTTAAATTAATTAAGGCAAGAGCCTGCCTTTCCTTCAATTGGGCCCACGCTTTTACCCTCCCCTTGAACCGCTCGCGCGCTTGGACGAAACAAGCGCCGCCTCTCGCCCATTCCCGCTCCAACACGTGTCCATTTCTTACGCGTGTTCAGTGGAAGCGGAGGACAATCACGCAACCAGACCCGCCCAGCGTTTCTTACAACAGATGGGAGTGGTTTCTGACAGCAGTATTGTTTTTATCCGACAGCTCTCCTCCCCACGCTCCATATGTAATCGTGGGCCATACGCGCAAATATATTTACTGTCTTTCCATCCCCGCGTTTCGTCACCGTGCTGCGCTGTCCGGTCAATGGGCTGATTTTAGCAAAAGCTCGTAAATGGGAGCTAATTTACTCTCTATTTCGTTTTATATTTTCCTTAATAAGGAAAATAAGTAAATTTGTTTTAAATCCCATATAACCCCTTTTACATTCTCATTTTTTAGGATTTTTTTTTTCATTGGTGCACAATACACAACGTAATTCTTGGCTATGGATTTTTAGCTGGGCATTTAACGCTTCATTCATTTAGTATATACCATATAGCAGAACATAAGTGCACAATTATATAATATTTAATTAATTGTACGTTGTTTTGTTTTTTTATAAATTATATATGGAGTTGTTATTACCATTTGAAAAATAAGTTCTACATGATTCATTTCAAGTGAAAAAAAAAAAAAGATAGATAGGTAAATAAATAATAATTTCAGAGTGCTAATAATTTGGAGCTTTTGAATTTAGATGTCTCATTAGAGAAATTTTTTAATATGCTAAGAACATAGTCTGATACACAAAATATCATAATATAAATGGTTGAAAATATTTTTTTTGAAGTATCTAACCACTTCTATGATGCATTTGGTGAGCCAGATTGTGTTTTCGACACATCAAAAAATCTTTCATTAGCTTTAAAAAAAATTAATTGCCCTATCCACTCTTGGCAAGAGTTTTAAAAACGAACTATAAAGGATCGTCCCTTAATGTGAGCCAAATGAAAATGTAGTTGATGATAACTCTTCATTGAAAAATTAACGAGTGTGTTTGAGTGTCGTTCTTTTGAGAAAATCTTCTTCATTAATGAATATATACTTCACTTGGTCTGAGTGTAGCTATTTCATTTTTTTGGATCCACTTCACTTGGTGTGCTGAGATCATGGCGGTGATCATGTGATGCAATTAGACTCACGGGCATCGTACTCCTTGTCCCAATATATGGTTTGATATTTTTTTGTTCTCACATAATCTTTGTATAACACGAGGTTTAATAGTTTTAATTGGTCTGTATAATCTTGCGGTTTTTCTGATGAGCCTTGACGATTGCTTGACATCTACTCATCATTTTACGATTGGTAATGCTTTATTGTAATCTTTTTAAATCAAGTTTCTTAACACCCTTTTAGGGCCGAGTTCTTCAGGATATGCATTATTTGTTGAGTTTCAATGTATAAGAAACATCCATTTCAATCACGGTCACGCATTCGTTCGTAATCAAAATATAGTTAGGGTATGGTGGTTGCTTCCTTATCAAGTAATACGTAGTATTCATGCATGATTCGTGCTAGGATTATGCATTTATTATGAATGCTAGTAGAATTTGATTATGACTTATGAGCTTTAAACAAAATATATAATAAACAAAAATCGCCTTTTAGTTAAAATATATCCTTGTTTAACGACCACACATTATTTAAACAATTCTCTCTCGATATGTTTTCTCAAAAAGTCCGATTCGTGCAGATTCTTCTCCCAACTAAAGAAGAGATCTTGGCGGAATTGCCGCATATGAAATTGAGTACCGATTTGCATAGCCACTTGTTTCTCGAGAATAGATGGGAAACTCTCAACTTCACTTGATTGAATAGTTGACCCAACTCCTTGTTAATTGGGAGTTTTAACGAAATACTTCCGGTACTGTTCACTTTTAACAAAAAGCCACGTTTTGAGCCCTATATACTATTCACTACACTTTTATTTGTCATTTTTTTATTAAAACTAAAGTTTTTTTTTAGACTTTTCGTTAGGTTTTTTTTTTTTTTTTTTGAAAAAACCCTATGCTTCAATTGGTATTTTTCACAAAAAAAAAAATATGAGATAACAAATCCAGTCTTTCACAAAGATTTCGAACAGCTGTCCCGAATTCAAGTTGATTATATTTCGCCTTTGAATTGATTAAGTATTAGTATAATGAAAAATGAAAGCGAACAGATTGTGTTGAAACAGTGTCTGGAAATTATTTCCCAAACAAGGTATTTCGAATTTAAATTATCATGGTCCCTCTACATAAAACTTGTGTTTTTGGCTCCTCATTCTTTGTCTGTGTGAGTGTAGGGGTGTAGGTGTCATGTTTGGACCAATTACGTTGTCTGATTGTCTCTTTCATATGATGTGCATTACAGCCATCTCTAGCTTAAAGCTTGAAACATGATGACTGTGAAGAAAATGATGCCGACTCTATGAGTTTTAGTCACAGCCACAATTTTTCTGTGGACCAATAAATTGAGAAAACAACCCCTTTGTTTTTCTTTTTCTAGGAAATAAAAACGCTCATCATGTTTTATTAGGAAGTGCGTTATCCTAACTACAAACATTGTCAACATTGCGACCAATGGATGTAATAGGATCAACTATGAAGTTGGCTTTTATATAACTATGTCGCCATTAAAAATAGAATCCAAAGAGGTTGCCAACCATTTTAACGTACTCAAAATAGTTCTGAGTCTCCAAGAGATCTTGCATCGGTCGAGAACTTGTCTTCTGAAATAAATTTGAGTTACTAAATATTACTTTCATTTTCTTTGTTCTTGAAGATAATAGGCACAAGCTATAAGAGACACCACCACAGGCAAATAAGGTTTAAGTGAGTCAGATTACGCGAGATAGCTGAATAATCAAACTACAATCTACGCTTCATCGCACTCAGCGGTTTGAGGGAACTGAAACTCATGATGGAACACATTTCGTCGTTCTAATACCCTAACTCAAATGAAACATTAAAAATTAAAATAAGCAATTCGAAGAACAAGAGACACAATCACTATGAATTTAGAACACAATGTCAAGTTGTTTGCCCAACCGACAGTTTAAAACTCTCTTGTAGTATATTGTTTAATTTCCCAATTTAATTTCTTATTTATTTTTTGTATGGTTGGACTTGGGAAACAAGTAAGAAACCACCACCTTACCCTCCACCGTCAACAAAAGAAAAACCAAAAAACATAAAATCCCAGCAGGTCATATAAAACTTATTTTATATGTTTCCTGGAACCACCACCAGAAGATACACACAGTATCCCAACCACTCCATAGTTTGGCTGCCGGAGATGGGGACCCCACAAACCAAATATCAAGCTTCCAGATTGATTGGATTTTATTTGATCTGTGTGCATGATATCTTCTGAATTATATTATTAAAAATAAATAAAGCATATAGTTTATGAAATTTTAACAAAAAACATTCGGTATTGTTTATTTTAACGAAAAATCACGTTTTTACAATAAAAAATCAATTATGATACTATTCATTTTATTATTTATTTTATCATTATCGTTAAAATTCAAAATTTTCAAACAATTTTTATTAATTTTTCTTATAATTTAAGGGGATTATTATTATGTGTAGATTTGGGGTGGAAACATCACGAATCAATCATTATTCGTGGAACACATGCCTAATACGTGGCCTCTTGTTTTTGTTGAGAAGTTTAAATGCGAAGCACGTTAATATTGGTTTAATTATCAACCCTAGCCGTAAACAAAGAAAATATTTTCTGCCGCGGGACACTGCCTTTGGTTTTGGGGGTAATCAATCTTCTAGACAATCATTATTAATGTCTTTTCTTTTTCCTTTTTTATTTTTTTGTTTTGTTGTAGAGTTGTCGTCGTGCTAATCATCGAATTTTGGTCCACGCACACAGTGAATATACAGTTTTGAATCCAGTTATCATCTTCGATATGAGGTTGAAACCATAAGCCATGGAAGATGTCGGATGGCGTTG